CAACACGCCGGATGCACTCTTACACTTCATCCATCCAGCTCGTATTCTATGGTTGAGATCTCCATCTAATTCTCCGTTCTCTTGCAAGATAGATCATAGGTAGCAAAAACGGTCGCTTTTTGTGATCTTCGCTAGATTGCTCCGGTCATTAGTGTGGATAAGTATATAAATGGATAGAGATAGGAAAGCAAACACAAGATGTACGTGGTTTACCTAGATTGGCTACGTCCACGGAATAGAAGAGTTCTCATTAATTGTGAAGGGTTTACACAAGTACATAGGTTCAAGCTCTCCTTTAGTGAGTACAAGTGAATGATTTAGTACAAATGACATTAGGAAATATTGTGGGAGAATGATCTCGTAATCACGAACCTTCTAAGTATCGGAGTGTGGTGTCGTCTTGACTTGCCTTATCTGTCTCATAGGTAGATGTGGCATCTTCTCTTGAAGTACTCTTCCTCCATCCAGGGGTGGTATCTTTAACTGGTGGAGATGCACAAGGTAATGTATCAATTTCACTTGAAGCTTACTTGTAGTTTCAAGCTTGGTCAAGCGCGATACAAACCATGTAGTAGGAGTCCCCCAAGTCGCCGAGCTAGGGGGTCTGCTGAAAGAGGTGATAGACAAGGTAAGCAATCAGAGCTCCGACTGATTGTTCACCTTCTCCCCATCTTGCAGCAGCATGAAGGATAAAGAGAAGAAAAATGAGAAGAGATGATATGAGATACTTTTGCTTTTGAAGAAGCAACTTTCCACAGGCTTATTCTTGAACTGAGCTGGAGGGTTTCCTGGTTTCCTCCAGAGTATAAGGCCGACTGAAGAATTTGAGGGTCAAAACAAGTCCATCAAATCTAGAGTACGTTCAACCCTGCTGATATAGGATACTTTTGCTTTTGACAGAGTAATGGATGTATCGGCACGTGTGCTGTTACGCTTGTCTCCACATGCTTCCTTGTATCCTTCGCACTTGCCCTATCTGTTCTTCAAGCAGATGCGGAATCTTCCCTGGAAACATAAGATGTTGAAGATGAGTACTCGAGAGCAATGTCAGGTAAGTAATCAGGTAAGGGGTTCCAGGCAGTCAGTTCCTGGCTGGAAGCTTGATTCCAAGTGCTGACTGATTGCTCTCTTTCTCCTTGTCTTGCAGGTAAAAACAAGGCCAAAGGAAAAGACAGGGAAAAAGCATGATATGGGATACTCTTGCTTTTAACCCTGATGATATGAGATATTCTTGCTCTAGTATAGCTTGTTTGCAGAGGTATTATCGGGGGGGGGGGGAAGAAAGCTGAATATTTCGAAAGGCTTCGTTGGGAGTGCCCTCTCAGATATGATGAAGGGTTGAGCATTTTTGCAGGTCTGCCTGTCCGTTGGGGATGGAGGTCGACATATATAGGAGTCTCCCTAACAACAAGTAGTAATGCTATTCATTTACCCTGCTTGGTCATAGCACGGTAGTGGGAGCTGCCAGTTTCACATGTTTTAACTCTGTCAGAGCACTTTGAAAAAGTGGTCTGTGGTATCTGGCTCTCGAGATTCGGAGAACGATGCCTCTTCGATTTTTGAGAAAGCAATCATGCTGGGGGTCTGGCTCTCGAGATTCGGAGAGCAGTGTCTCTTCGATTTTTGAGGAAGTAATCATGTTGGGAGTCTGGCTCTCGAGATTCGGAGGGCGGTGCCTCTTCGATTTTGGAGCAAGCAATCCTGTTGGGAGTGTTGTCTCGAATGTGAGTAAAGGTTGGGCATGTTTGCTAGTCTACCTTGCCCGGAAGCACAAAGGTTGACACACAGGGACTTTCCAATTATCTAGCAATGGTACTGTTCCTTTACCCTTTCTTCGCTTTTGAGAAAGTAGTCATGTTGGGAGTCTGGCTCTCGAGATTCGGAGGACGGTGCCTCTTCGATTTTGGAGCAAGCAATCTTGTTGGGAGTGTTTTCTCGAATGTGAGTAAAGGTTGGGCATGTTTGCTAGTCTACCTTGCCACGAAGCACAGAGGTTGACACACAGGAACTTTCCAATTATCCAGCAATGGTACTGTTCCTTTACCCTTGTGGGTAATAATATGGTAGCTAGACCTTTAAAATTTATGTGTCTAAACTTTGTTAGTGCTGTTTCTTTGCTATTCTTTTACCTTTCTTGGTCAGAGCGATGTAGTGGGAGCTGCAAGCTTCACGTGCTCAACTTTGGCAGAGAACTTTGGCAAAGTTATCTGTGGTACCCATGAGCTATTGTTGCGTGTGGGAAGTGGGTGATTGAACAGTAAGATTCATGTGTGTTCTACTTCCCCAGAAGTCTTCGACAGAATGCCCATAATTTCTGCAAAGCTGAGTGTGCGTGTGACAGGTGCTGACAAGGCTAGAATAGTAGGTGCCTCTTCGATTTCTGAGATCGGCCCTCGTGGTCTCTGAGCAGCCCAGCTTTTGAGAAAGCGAGCGCCTCTTCGATTGATTCGGAGAACGATTTTTGAGAAAGCAATCATGCTGAGGGTCTGGCTCTCGAAGATTCGGGGAGCAGTGTCTCTTCGATTTTTGAGAAAGTAATCATGTTGGGAGTCTGGCTCTCGAGATTCGGAGGGCGGTGCCTCTTCGATTTTGGAGCAAGCAATCTTGTTGGGAGTGTTTTCTCGAATGTGAGTAAAGGTTGGGCATGTTTGCTAGTCTACCTTGCCACGAAGCACAGAGGTTGACACACAGGGACTTTCCAATTATCCAGCAATGGTACTGTTCATTTATCCTCTCTTCGATTTTTAAGAAAGTAGTCATGTTGGGAGTCTGGCTCTCGAGATTCGGAGGACGGTGCCTCTTTGATTTTGGAGCAAGCAATCTTATTGGGAGTGTTTTCTCGAATGTGAGTAAAGGTTGGGCATGTTTGCTAGTCTACCTTGCCACGAAGCACAAAGGTTGACACACAGGGACTTTCCAATTATCCAGCAGTGGTACTGTTCCTTTACCCTTGTGGGTAATAATATGGTAGCTAGACCTTCAAAATTTATGGGTCTAAACTTTGTTAGTGCTGTTTCTTTGCTATTCTTTTACCCTTCTTGGTCAGAGCGATGTAGTGGGAGCTGCAAGCTTCACATGCTCAACTTTGGCAGAGAACTTTGGCAAAGTTATCTGTGGTACCCATGAGCTATTGTTGCGTGTGGGAAGTGGGTGATTGAACAGTAAGATTCATGTGTGTTCTACTTCCCCAGAAGTCTTCGACAGAATGCCCATAATTTCCGCAAAGCTGAGTGTGCGTGTGACAGGTGCTGACAAGGCTGGAAAAGTAGGTGCCTCTTCGATTTCTGAGATCGGCCCTCGTGGTCTCTGGGGAGCCCAGCTTTTGAGAAAGCGAGCGCCTCTTCGATTTCTGAGCAGGCGCCTCTTCGATTTCTGAAGCTCCGTCGAGTGCAGATTTTTATAGGGGCTGGCATTAAGTTCCAAAGCACACTTGAATCTCCACCAGTAGAAGCTTCATTCTTGCACTTCTAAGATCTTGATTTGTCCGACCTCTTCTCTCTTCAACACCTTTGAAAATGTCTGGCCCTTCCGACCGTCGTTTTGACTTGAACCTTGTTGAAGAGGCAGCCCCGCCTTCTCCAGACAACATATGGCGCCCATCCTTCGTCTCCCCTACAAGTCCTCTTACCGTTGGGGATTCCGTGATGAAGAATGATATGACCGCTGCGGTGGTGGCCAGGAACCTTCTCACTCCCAAAGATAACAGACTACTTTCCAAACGGTCTGATGAGTTAGCTGTTAAAGATTCGCTGGCTCTCAGTGTTCAGTGTGCAGGTTCTGTGTCTAATATGGCCCAACGCCTATTTGCTCGAACCCGCCAAGTTGAATCATTGGCGGCTGAAGTGATGAGTCTCAAACAGGAGATTAGAGGGCTCAAGCATGAGAATAAACAGTTGCACCGGCTCGCACATGACTATGCTACAAACATGAAGAGGAAGCTTGACCAGATGAAGGAAACTGATGGTCAGATTTTACTTGATCATCAGAGATTTGTGGGTTTGTTCCAAAGGCATTTATTGCCTTCGTCTTCTGGGGCTGTACCGCGTAATGAAGCTCCGAATGATCAACCTCTGATGCCTCCTCCTTCTAGGGTTCTGTCCAGTACTGAGGCTCCAAATGATCCCCCTCCGGTGCCTTCTCTTTCTGGGGCTCTACCGACTGCTGAGACTTCTCCTAAGCAACCTTTGTGAAGGCTCCCTCTTGTGTGTTTATTTTGACTCATGTATATGTACATATTTGTAGCTTATCGGGGATATCAATAAATAAGCTTTCCTTCATTTCAACGTATTGTGTTAAATACACCAAAGCCTTCTTCGCTAAGTTCTTTGAATTTTCTTTTGTTGAAAATGAAGAAATGGTATGTTCTCAAACTTCATTAAAAATTTCCCGCCGGCACTTTAATATTCAATTTGGCACAATTAACCACCATTTTGGGTTTTGGAAACGGACTCAAAACTAACAATCGACACAAAAGATAGAGAAGGACCATATGAACACCAACCACAACCGAAATATCCACAACTCAAAAGTCCAACAACGACTCGGAAATGCAGAAGCTTGCCTGCTCGAGGGCAAGGTGTATGTAAATCATTCACTACAACTGCTCGAGGGCATGTATCTATCGTGAATCGTATCCTACTTTTTAGAAATTTTTCGTATCGATGTGTCATGTTATATCGTATCGCCATATCCATATCCATATCCGTACTTCATAGCTTTCTACCATAAAATATAGAATATGCTTTGAATTTACTGCTGCTCTCCAGCATCCAAGTATTAGTGAGCATGAACAAGAACACAGTTTTTTAGACCAAATCATGCCAGGATTATCGCAAAGATGGAAGGTCCATAATAATTTTTGTTATTTTCACGTCATACACTGACGTGAGAATGCAGAAGCTTGCCTGCTCGAGGGAAGGTGCATGTAAACCATTCACGACATCTGTCGATTAAAAAAACACACGCACACCCTTGAAGCAAACAACATCAGTACAAGTCAATCAAATCAAAGCGTTGATCCAAATTAATAGGCACTGCACAGATGTGATATTCCAAGGCGAGTGCATGCAAAGGACAGCCAAATTAAACACAGAAAACACCCAACAACAAAGTATATATATCCGCAACGACAACAGAGCTATCTAGCTTAATTATTCCAAGACATACGTGGGTCCACAATAACATATATATATATATAACATAGAGCACTAAAATGAAACGATAATTTAACAGCTGCTGCATACATGCACCCAGTCGTCCTCAGCTTCATCAATCATCAGGTGATGTATCGAACCAACAGGGGTGCAAGGGCACATCCCGTCCAGTTTCCTTTGAGTAGTTTGTTCCAATCCGCGCAGACAGGAACCCTGTGAGTACCACTCTAATGACATTAAGCACACTTAAGTGGAATAACACACTGCCCATCTACTACATAGCCCTTGCCAACCTGAGTTACGCCAATGGGGACCTGTTTCTTCCAGGCTCATTGATTCAGCCAGTGGCCAGGCTTAGTGCAAATTGGACAACTAGATGGCAATTTGAGAGTAGCCTTGTCTGGAGAAACTAGGTCACAACCAAAAGAGCACAAAGATCTGTCCAAATGAGAAATCCAGGGACCAAGAGACAAATATATAGTGAAAAAGAACACAATAACCTTAATGAACTCAAAATGACTTAGGATAGAGACATATATATGCAGACTGCAGACTTAGAACATTACGGGGAGTTACGCCTTAACATACCTATATTATAAGCTAAGATAAGATAACAAAGGACCATGATTGAGATGAGAGTAAATCCAAATCCAATATCAACACACAAGCCAAAGTGAGAAATAATTGATATCCAAAATGATATGTGAAACAGAGATCCACTAACCACAACCAACATTCCATATATTGGGAAAATGATTTGTTCAAGGGACGACATACATCCAATATCTGCTATGCAGCGGGAAGCAAGATTAGCTTCAGCATGATCTAATATTTCATCCAACTCTTTGCCATCTGTAGAGCCGTTAAGTACAAACAGTATACTAAAATGAAGAAATGGTATTGTCTAAAACTTTAATATTCAATTTGGCACAATTAACCACCATTTTTGGTTTTGCAAACGGACTCAAAACTAACAATCGACACAAACGAAAGGGGAGGACCATATGAACACCAACAACCATTACGTAAACGAAATATCCACAAAACTCAAAAGACCAACAACGACTCGAGAATGCAGAAGCTCGCCAGCTCGATAGCAACGTGTATGAAATCATTCACTACATCTGTCGATTAAAAAACACACACACACCCTTGAAGCAAACAACACCAGTCAAGCCAATTAAATCAAAGCGTTGATCCAAATTAATAGGCACTGCACAGATGTGATATTCCAAGGCGAGTGCATGCAGAGGACAGCCAAATCAAAACACATAAAACACCCAACACAAAGGATATATATGTGACGACAACAGAGCTATCTAGCTTAATTATTCCAAGACATACGTGGGTCCACAATAACATAGAAAATCGAGTGATCCTTCTTGCTTGGTTCGAATTCATCTTGTCGTTGTTCGTATTCTCGTAGTCGTTGGCAATATCAACATTTTTCACCCTTATTCCATCAGAAAACGGTAAATACGAATGATGGTGTGCATCACTTGCACCCGATCTATCATTGTAAACATCAACATAATGTAACTCCCGAGCATTGCATCTAATCCCAACTATTGGACACTCACAACTATAGTCTTCTTTACATTCTTTGTCATGGTTGAAATCAGGGACATAATAAAAAAATGTGGCCGCTTGGAACTCCATGTTCTATGTAGCATATTTATGTTGAAAATGCAACCCTACATCTTGGTTTACAAAGGCAGTTCTATTGTTAGCAAGTGCTTCCATTGATGCATTACTTGTTGACTTAGACTTTAAATTATCAACTAAATTCTCCGTTGCTCCAAAGTCATCGCACACCAAACCAACAATAGATAGGTTTTCGAGAATTGTTTGAATTTTAAGGTTATCACTTATTACTCAAGAAAAATAAAATGCAAAATGCACATCTAAACACACTGAAAATAAAAAAAGAATAGTGGATTAATCAAAAATAATAAATAGAGATAAATAAAATTATAGAGAAAATTACTTCTAGTGTATTCAAGATCGACGATCCTTGCATCCGATCCACATGTGAAGCCATGCTCCAAGAGCATGGGTAAAACTATAGTACCCTTCTTCGATTTATATCCTTTAGGGCAAGAATATTGTTTTTGTACAATATAACAACACAAAAAATTTTGTTTTTGTACGTGGTACTCACTTTCTGAGCTCATTTTCAACCCGGGAAAATCCGTCATTTAAAAAGTCACTTTGTGCAGTAATCTATTCAGCCATGCTCTTGGAGTATGACTTCACATTGGGATTGGATGCAAGGATCGTCGATCTTGAAGACACTAGAAGTAATTTTCTCTATAATTTTCTCTATCTCTCTTTATTATTTTCGATTAATCCACTATTTTTTTTTTATTGTCAGTGTCTTTAGATGTGCATTTTGTACTTTTTTTTTCTTCAGTAATAAGCGATAACCTTAAAATTCAAACAATTCTCGAAAACCCACCTATTGTTGGTTTGGTGTGCGGTGACTTTGGAGCAACAGAGAATTTAGTTGATAATTTAAAGTCTAAGTCAACAAGTAATGCATCAATGGAAGCACTTGCTAATAGTGGAACTGCCTTCGTATACCAAGATGTAGGGTTGCTTTTTCAACATATATATGCTACATAGAACATGGAGTTCCAAGCGGCCACATTTTTTATTATGTCCTTGATTTCAACCATGACAAAGAATGCAAAGAAAACTACAGTTGTAAGTGTCCAATAGTTGGGATTAGACGCGGTGCTCAAGAGTTCCATTATGCTGCTGTTTACAATGATGGATCGGGTGCAAGTGATGCACACCATCATATATATATTTTTTTTTTGGTTGGTGCTTGTACCTAGCTTTGAAGGTGGTATGTATTTTTAATTAACAATTATAGTGAGTGATTTTGGGTGAAACTATTAATCAGCCTATAACTCCTATACCAATCTCAATTAAAATCATTCATATCAAATTGTGTGTGTAAATTAAGCACCCCACTTCTGCAGTATGATTCTGTAACTATTTATTTATTTTTTTAATTTTGTTATTAGTTTAATTAGTATTTTTTTTATCTTTAATTGAATAGTATTATTTTATTGTATATAGGTTTTTAATAGACAAAATTATCCGTCCAACAAACAAAAAAGGTGATGAAACGATAAAAACCTTTCAGTTTTAAGTTTTAAGTTCTCATTTCCTTGAAAGTTAAAAACAAAACAAACAAAAAATTGAAAGCCAAATTCGAAAAACTCGTGGCCTTTTGACATCTATTTCATTTTCAACTTTTTGAAAACTGAAGACCAATTTGATAACCACTTTGAATTCCCACTGATTTGAGATATCCAAACTTACGAAGACTAGAATATGTTGGAATTATACCTGTGGAACTCCGTAAGTTTGGATAACTCAAATTAGCAGAAAGTCTAGGGAATTCCTCGACATAACTAAGTGCTGATATTGGACCTCTGGCCTAGTGAGATAACCATTCACAATTGTAAGTCACAGTAACTTCAACGGTATAACAGATAGATAGAAAGTGAAAATTACAAAACTCTCAAAGGGCATGAAGAACAGATGGCAAAACATATATAATTCAGGTCAAACTTACTTCTTGGTAAACTCCAATTGCATTGGCCAACTCTAGACAAACAACATTGTAGGCTGTAACCACCCCAGATGATGTTGCATAGGTGTTTTTAATACTTCGCACCTAAAACCCCAGATCAATGACATGAGTCAATCGCGTACACTGAATCTAAAACAACAATTAGCAGTGTACAAAAGAAGTTTTAAAGGACTGTACGAGGAATTAATTATTCAAGCAAGCATTATAGTTGATATTACCTATTCCATGCGAGGCATTTCCGCAGGTATCCGCACCATTTTATATAGTTGCCCAAAACTTTTAGAAATACCTCTGTGATTGCTTTCTCGTCTATTTTCTGAGAACACAAAACATAAATATGTCAAAAAACTTCACATCAAGAAGTCTATTTCGATACCCATACGTCCCAACATCAAAGAAAAGATGACCATACCAAGAAGCAATAATCAACAGGAAGTCTTGGGAATCGCTCGGTATTATACCTAAGTGCAGATATTGCACTCTAACCTTGTGAGATTAACTTAATATTCAAAAATTTAAGTCAAAAGTAGCTTCAACTGTGTGACTAAATATTACATACAAAAAAGTAAGATCACATACCTTAAAACATATTTCACAAGACAAAAGATACTCGTTTATAGTTTTGTGATTTATGATTACTAACCGAAGTATTTGTTTGGACCATCCATGGCCAAAGATAGATAAGATACAAAGGGAAAGTATCAGGACTCTTGATTGAAAGTACTTCCCGACGAAAAATGCATCTTGAAAAAATCCAGTACGCATGCCAACATCATATCTCACTGGAAATTTGAGGGAACGTCTTGAGAAGGAGAAGCTAAAGCTTACCGAGTCGGGGACGGTTGGATTCGTCGAGAGTTGAGAAGGAGAAGCTAAAGCTTACCGAGTCGGGGACGGTTGGATTCGTCGAGAGTCAAAACATAAACTTCCGTTTTCCTCCGAACGTGGCACGGCCAAGGAGTAGCAGAGGGCCCTATGTGGTTTTGGGAAGTTTGAAAGGTTGATGATTGAAGATGGTTTGGTGGCGGTTCTCGGTTTTTCCGAGAAGGAGAAGGAGAGTTATGGAGGGGGAGAGGCAGGACAGGCATAGAGTTGCGAGGGATGAGAGAGAGGTTTGAGCAGAGTGTGTGATGGATGATGGTTGACAAGACTGGGCCTTTTAAAACCCATCAAAACTATATTTTAATTCCCAACTGCTTCTCACTTTAATTTCCACCAGAAACAAAAGCAGGGCTTTTCTGTTGCTCCTCAAACTATATGAACAATCTTTTTGAGAAAAACTTTGTAAGAACTCAATATTTAAAAACAATTGAGAATGATTCTTAGTTAAAAAGAAGTATTGAGTTTGGTGTATGAATGATGATGGATGTAGGGATGTAGGGTTTATATGGACAAAAAGAGAAAGGATGAGATTCTGGACACTGCCACATAACATTACGTGATTGGTTAAAAATCTTATCGAAATCTTAGCTAAATTATTGTAAACAGATAGTGACACGTGGCCCATTGAGATTGGTTAAAAATCTAGTCGGAAATCTATCCGCAAAATAGTACGTTCAGATAATGACACGTGTCGTGATAAGATTGGTTGAAAATCTTATCAATATTTTGGCTAAATTATTAAACAAATAGTGACACATTGGCGTGACAAGATTGGTTAAAAATTTTATCCGAAATTAAAACTAAATTTAAATAAAATTTATTATTTTATAAAAAAATTAATAATATTTTAAATTCGTTGGGTGCCAGCATATTTTGTAAGGTTGGAGATCGTTTGTGCAGTGCATTTTTAGGGATGAAGAAGCATTTGGCCAATTTACTATTCATTTGGTCTATCACTATTTACTAAGTAGATTAAATGGGCTGAGTATCAACATATTTCTGTAGGAGTGGACTTGCTCTCAAAATTAAATCCGAGCAGTGGTGCGCTCTGCATGAGGGAAATTTCGAATTTTGAAACAGTGGTGCTCTCAATTTCGGTATAACTTTGTTTGTTATAATTCTAATTTGAGTTCCATTTCCGGCCATCTGTTTGTTAAAATGAGTACCATTTTAAAAGAGTAAAATAAGAGTTGAAAATGAAAGGTGAAGAAAAATTGAGGTCTACGTTGAGGGTTCCCGTAGTGTCTCAAGGGCATTCGGTAATTTTATTACTATTGAGAATACAATATATTAAATTTCAAAATGAGATGTCACATATCATTTATGAAAATAACTTCTTTTTTTTTAAAATCATCTTTGTACATATATAAACTCTTAGAGCAAGTCCACCTCTAAGGACTTTGCGCCAGCACCCAGCGCATTTATCCACTCAAATGAACAGTAATAGACTTGAGTGAACAGTAATAGGCCAAGGCATCTCCACCCCTAAAAAAATGCGCTGGCACCCAGCGCATTTTTTTGGTGTGTTTTTTTTTTTAAGTTTATTTCGGATTCGGATAAGATTTTTAACCAATTTTAGATAAAATTTCAAATAAACTTAAAAAAATACACACTAAAATAAAATTACATACTCATCAAATAAACTATAAAAAAAAAACACACTAAAATGAAATTACATAAACTCATCAAATACACTTTATTCTTCAACCACAAGTTTTTTGGTATTTTTTTTTCACACAAAAAGTATATGAAAGCTTTGGTAGAAAGTGTAGAAAATATTGAAATGTGGTGTAAGGTGGAAGATGAGAGTTAGGTATTTATAGAAAAAATAAATAATTTTTTTTTTAAATTTTATGTATTTTTTAATATTTTTTCTGTATGTTTTAATAAATTTTAATTAGTTAATTAACGTGGACCGTTGATCTGTGATCGGACGGTATATTTTAAAAGTAAAATTTAAATTTTTTTTACCGTTGGAAATCCAACGGTTTAGAAAAACTAGCCGTTGGAAATCCAACGGATATAAGCATGCCACGTCGCTGATGGGATCCGGAGCACAAGTGGGCTGACAGCCCTGTCGGCTACTCGCGACAGCGCCTGCGTGAAGCGCACGCGCCAGGCAAACTGCCCAGCTTCTTGCTCAGTCTGTTTTGGGCTGGTCCATTGCCCAGCTTGGGCTGGGTACCAGTCAAAATGAGGGGTGGACTTGGTTGACAGGGTGCTGGCCCTGTTTTTGTGCTGGGTCCTGGGCAAAATCCACTGGGGTGGAATTGCTCTTATTAGAACATATGTTGATATATATATATATATATATATATATATATATATATATATATATATATATATATATATATACACATATATATGATACCTGCAACATAAATTAGTCAACATGATTAATCAGTGACGGGGGTCGAAGAAAAATTGAGACAATTTACTTGTTATGGATGTAGAAGAAATTGAGATATAACTGTGAGCATGAAGAATGATGCACAATATTTAATTTTGGAAAAATTAGTATCCGGTCTCTATTTACTAATATTTATTGACTGAGACCTTATTAGTTGTTAAATTTTAATCAAAGTCCCTCTTATTAATGTACTAATGAGTCAATAACATAATTATTAAAAATAGAAAATAGAAATTGATTTATGGTTTTAATACTCATACCTTCATTAAACTCCTAATTACTTTTCAATTCAAAACATTTTCAAAATTCAAATAAGTTTGTACTTATTAATTTTTTATAAATCTATTTTTCAAAATTTTAATCTTAAATGTACACATTCATAAAATATTTCAAATTTTAATCTTAAATAAGTTTGTATTGCATCCCTAACGACCTATATAGGTATACCAGAAACCATTTGGCAAGTCAAGGGACCTAATCATCCTAGCATCGAACTATTCTTCCGTAGGACCTCCCTTACAATATCGTCACGAAATGCATAGGATATACACACACACACACACGAGTAATTCAAAGAAAAAATAAAAATATTTGATAGGATCATTTTCAGAAACATAAAATGACACACCCCGACCCGAAAAGTCCACTTAGACTACAAATCGAGTTGTGTTGGCCGACACCAAGAGGGTGACGAAGCTATAAAGTATAGAATTGTGGGAAAAATGTGAACAAATTTAAATCTAAAAGTGCATAACTACGAGAGTGTGTTGTAAGCAGAAATGAACCTATTTCACACGAGATGTCAAAGCATAAGTAAAGTACAGTAGAGTGGATTGAGAATCATACCCTCGAAGGTAATCTCCAATACCAAGATTTGCCACGAATCTTTGTCGATAAGACAGCTCAGCTAAAAAGACATGGAAGGTGGAAACAAAGTAAGGGTGAGTGGGCCTGGACATAAAATTTTAAATAAAACATTCTAAATCGTTATAACCCCTCGCTGTAACACCTGTATAGTTTCCAAAAAACTCATATCACGTATCAATGTAAAATCAAAAGTATATCAACAATAAATCCATAAATATACCACGACACAGCATTTCATGAGCAACATAAATAATCATGTGCTCAATAAATCTATACTAGCACGCAAGTCAGAGTCACCTGATGTGACCTGTACGACTGCATCCATAGCTCATCCACCAATGCTAGCACATAAGTCGGAGTCACCTATTGTGACCTGTACGACTCACCTATATCTCATCAATCAATGCTAGCACATAAGTCGGAGTCACATGTTGTGACCTGTACGACTCACCCATATCTCATCAATCAGTGCTAGCACATAAGTCGGAGTCACCTATAGTGACCTGTACGACTCACACATATCTCATTAATCAGTGCTAGCACATAAGTCGAAATCACCTATACGACTCACCAATATCTTATCAATCATTGCTAGCACATAAGTCGAAGTCACATATAATGACCTGTACGACTCACCCATATTTCATCGATCAGTGCTAGCACATAAGTCGGAGTCACCTATAGTGACCTGTACAACTCATAGGCAACCTGTACGACAATGTCGGAGTTGCCTATTTAGCTCATCTACCAATTCTTGCACACGAGTCGAAACCACTTCATGTGGTCTGTACAACAGGCTGGGTGTAAATAAATACACTCAAGTGCTAAGATCACGTGAAAGTTATGCGAAGTATCACAAGTCACCTACGAGTCGGAACCACCTAATTTGGTATGTACAACAAGCTGGCACCTACCTTGGATCCAAAGTGAGCATGTGGTGCGGGATGTAAACGATCACGTGAAGGCTAGGCCCTGTCCTTGGGAGAAGCACTAACACCGAAGCGCAGGATAATGAGCATTAAATGCATAAAAATATAACCATACACACTGCAATCACTATCATCAACATGTACTCACCTGAAGCTTACCTAGGCGTCTGCAGCATCATTTGGCATAACCACTTTAACATCATAAAATTCTTAATCGGAACTAAACCCGGTAATAGGCCAAAATACAATCATGGTTAATCTCTACGCTGTTAACCATCATAACTTCATTCCTTAAAGAATCAAGTACCATGTTAAATTCGGGTTGTTTTAGGGCTATATCTAACTGTCTTGTTAAATTGTCTACGTACCCTCAAACGGGACCAAGCCATTTGTAGTTCAACTTAGTACTTCCAAGCATTCACAGTAATTATATGTCGATAATATGCATATAGATATACCATAATGCAATCTAAAACTCAACCATACCATAGTATTTTAGTATATATGAATATATATATATATATATATTGCATGGCATAAAATGCATAAATCCATTTCAAAGCATTTATGGAACTATCAATGATATACATACGATGAAAAGGAAAAGACCCACTCACCTGAGGTCCGCGCTACGCTTCCCTAGTATGAATATCGAGACGTCACGAACGATCTTCACCTAGAACAATTATTTAGTCACATCTCATAACTCTTAGCAATATAACACGTAACTTACATAAAACACATCCCAAAGACATTATAGAATGATTTAAGACCCATTGACCAAAAGTCAATCGTCAGTCAAAGATTAAAGGTAGGGTCCATAACCCCTACGAAACTCAATCCGAAAGATTCGCATCTCGGATTTCAGATATGTAACTTCCAAAGATCCACATTGTGCTTCTAAAACATTATACTAAAGTTTCATTACGATCCAACGGTTGGATCTCCGCCAATTGCCAATTCAAGTGGCGGTCAACGTTTTATTTTACAAACTTACAAATCTAATTCGGAAGATCCGTACGTCAGATTCCTAATCCATAAATTTTTATGGCCCTCAAATATTACGTACAATAACGTATTAAAGTTTGGTGACGATCCAACAGTCGAATCATCGAATCATAAAATGGTCAAGTGATGGACCTTAATGGAACTAGGTTCAAATGACGGAAATTCATCAATCGGACTTCACATACGGAATTAGAGAATCAAATTT